CTGGATCCAATTCCTGAAAAATGGTTTCAGCATCGTGTCCTGCTGCGCCTGGTGACGTTTGTGACCCCACTCCTGGATCATCCTGCGGGATCCTCGAGTTCCTTGTGGCCCACCTCGGAGCGCAGCGTTTCCCCTTCCTCCTGAACGTGAAGCCTGAGGAGGTGCTGGGCACGGGATGGTGGCTTGACTTGATGACCGCAACTGCCTACGCCACAGGAGTCCCGACCTGCAACGGGCATGTGTATGACTACTTCATAAGCTCGCGGTGTCCGGACGCCTTCCCCATGATAGTGGAAGCCAGGGCGGATTCGCCTGTGTCCCCGCATTGCTATGTGTCCATCCAGTTCAAGGCTCTTCGGCAAGAAGCCTTTGTCTGGGTCGAGTCGCCGCCGCAAGCCTTCCCCTTGGCAGACCAGGAGGCCAAGGCCAACACCAGGAAGAGAGCAGCCAACCCTCGTCGGCAAGTAGAGGAAGGGGCCGCACCCTTGCCGGCTGTGCGAGTTCGGCCCGGGTGGAGACTGGACAGCCCGATTGCGGACATTGAACAGGCAGCGATTGGACGGTTCTCGGCGGCTGAGCAGTATTTGGTGGACCGTTTCGAGGTTCCGAAGCAGGATGCTCGTTTCTTTCAAGGAAGGGCCAGGGGAGTCGTCATGAAACGCAAGAACCTTTCAGACCTCTCGAAGGGTATATTGGAGCGCTACGGCAAGACGGACGCTCGCAAGTGGGTGTCGGCACTACGCCTCTGCGACTGCCTCTGTGCATCGGCAGCCTCGCCCTTGGGGGCAAAGGCGGCCAGGTCGACGCACCGACAGCGCGTGGCCCAGCAGTTGAGAGACCTCGAGCTGCCAAAGCCCTCTACCGACTCCCAGCTTGTGCTGGAACTACAGGTGGACAAGTGGATATCTCTGGCCCAACGTCAAGGACAGCTGGCAGCGTGGTTTCGCTCAGTTCTAGCTGATGAAAGCTGATGAAGTAGACGAGAGGAGTCGGCGCGAAGCTCGCAGCAGGGCGTGAAAGGATTTCGGAGAGTCAGCGGTCGAAGGCTCGGTCAAGTTGACACGCGCTGCCTGCCGACCCAAAGCCTGGAGCGCGCCTGCCCCAAAGCAGGCAGCGGCCCACAGGGGCTAGTCGGATCGGCGGCCATCGATGCATCATTTGGGGAGTGGGAGCAGCGCAAGCAGCGGAGTGAGGAAGTGCACCAAGCAGACTGGCCATGCGACTGGACATTTGGCCCGATCGGTGAGCAACAGGTGGTCGACGCCCGCCTGCAAGTCCTTCGGGCCGTCGGCCGGCCTCGGTTGCGACGATTTCCATATGCGCTAGTGGCGTTCCTGGATAATGCCTTCGTCACCAGACTCGCACATTTTCTGTCGGAGTGGGAGAACCAACCCACTTGCGCCAACTTGTGGGTCTCCATCAGCGTCTTCCTACCCAAGGCGGATTGAGGCGCCCGCCCCATCGGCATCCCGTGTTTTTGGGCAAGGATTTGGAGCCGGGCGAGACGTGCATAGGTTAAGGAGTGGGAGTCCACGGTCGACGAGAGCTACTTTTGGGGCAAGGACACGGCCTCGAGCTGCGTCAGGGTAACCTACTTGCACAACATGTTGTCATGCCATGACAGGCTGCATGGGCTCTCAGCCCTCATTGTGTTCTTCGACATTCGGAAGTTCCACGAGAACTTGAGCCACCAGGAGCTACGTCAGACAGGCGAGCATTTCGCCTTCGACAGTGGCTTGCTGAGGGCGCCGCGCCGCCTCTACAGAGCCCCGCGCAGGGCCGCGTGGACAGGGGGCGCCAGTCGCCTCAGCCAGCCCAATGGCACGATAGTGGCTGGCTGCAGCGCTGTGACTGGTGTGGCCAAGATGCTCGTGCTCACCTTGCTTCAGAGGATCGCGGTGGAGACGAGGCCCTGTCGCGCGATCAACGCGGTGGACGAACTGACAGAGCGCGCGATCGGAAGGCCAGCTACAGCTGTGGAGGCCGCCCTGCGAAGCTTCGAGGTGGCCGCGTCGGAGCTGAAGGCAGGCGGCTGCCGATCAGTTGGGACAAGACCCGCTTCGTGATCTCGGATCGGGCGCTGCTACCAAAGCTGCTCGACGATTTGGCGGGCGCACGGGGCCGACGAGCTGGTCTCCGCGCGCCAGGGCCTCGGCGGCGATTCCAACGACGGTGGAGTCCGACGTGTCGGCGCGCAAGCACAGCGCCTGGCGGCCGTCGCGACTTCGGGCGAAACGCTCCGCGGGTCGGGGCAGAGCGCGAAACGTTGCCGCGTCTTTCGGGCGGGGCCTCTCGCTGAGGCCACTTGGGGATCGCGTTTTCTAGGGGTGCCCCCGACGGGCCTCCGCAAGCTGCGGGCCCAAGCTGTTAGGTCTCGGGGCCCCCTGCCCCCTTGGACTTCATTGGGGTTTTGTTCCCCGGCGTCCTCTCGTCTATGGATTTGGGGCCCGCTCGCGGCGGTGATCGCCTTGGCTGCGACAGAATTCGTTGGGGTGCTCTGGGCCAAGTCGATTTCGCAGGTAGCGCTGCAATCCTGCGTCGAGGGCGCCCAGGCGGCCCAGACCCGTAAAAAAATCATTGGGGTCAGGTCCGCCAGCCCGTGGCTGCCCTCTTCCTGCTCCTGGCCAGGATCGACTGGAGGTCCGTTTTCGGTTCTCTCCATGGCGGATGATCGAGGAAAGGCCTGGTCGGTTGAGTGGTTCTCTCCCAAGTTTTGCAGCGCCCTCGCGCGCAGCGCCGTGCGGGGAGCGATCGAGCGCGAGGGGCATGCGAAGCAGCACAGTTTTAAGAAGTGGAGTGGCCTTGTGTTTTGGATCCCATGTCACCAACTGCGATGTAGGAGAGCCTCGGAATGCTGGCCCAGAGGAAACGAGGCAGCCTTGCTGGCGCTACTGGCCATTGCGCATTGGTCCCCAGGCCCGCATTTACGCATGGAGTCCAGAGACTGATAAGCAGCACAAGCTGCACGGATATCGCGTTGGCAGTCTCTTCCATAGGAGATTATCCTGTTGTGCTTTTGCCGCGTGGCGCCGCAAGAACCTGGGCTCCGCCGTGTCCGACGCTGCTTGGAGATTAGGCCATCTCACGGGCGAAGCTAGGGAAGTGTTCAGAAGGCTGCTCCCCGGCCCCACGTCCTGCGTGTCGAGGCCCCCGCGGGGCCCGCGCGACCCGTGCGCTCGCCCCGTTCAGCGCCCGCGAGATGGGTCGCTTCTCATTCCTGAGGGGGCCCGCGTGCTGACGGACGACTCGGGGGTCGAGGGCAGCACGCTTGGAGCGCGCGCGGCTGGCGGGGCCGCGGTGGCCCTGAACGCAGCAGGCTGAACCGTGGCCGCTATGTTTGGACGTGCCCCCCTCAGCGAGGCGCCAGACCAGCTGGCGCGCGACGGGGGATACTTCGCGGTCCTCATGCTGTCTAGGAGGGCGGTCCTGGGGCCCCGCGTTTCTCTGTGCATCGACTGCGCTGCCGCGGTCGGCTGCCTCCGAAACCTCAGAGGCGCGGGTGGCCCCAGGTCTGCCAGGGCCCACTGGGCTGAGCTCGGCGATCGCTTGGACGGGGTGAATGTTGTCAAGATTCCGGCGCATGCGTCGATGAGTGACGACAGGGGCGGCAGGATCTCACATCTCCAGCGCTTCGGCAACGCTGAGGCAGACAGGCTCGCGAAAGAGGGGGCCGTCCAATTGCGCGTGCCCGAGCAAGATAGGCTTAGGGTCCTGGGGGGTGCTCGGGGCTGGCTCGCCGGCTCGGATTGTTTTGCGCCGCGCGGCATTTTGAGTGCAGGGCCTTGGCGATGCAGGACCTCCAGGGCCTGAAGTGGCTTAATTTTGCCTCGCTTAAGGCCATCCCTGGGCTTCCCACCCCCTCCTCCTGCGTGGTCCGAGTGGGGTGCTGCTGCTGCTGCGCCCCCCTCCGCCCCCCAGAATGGCCCGACTGCCCCAGGGGCCCGCGCAGTGCCCGGAGCATGGAGGCGACTGGGGCACCTTCTCGAGCAAGCGAATGCGCTCGAAGCGGGTTGTGAGACGTTTCGCGATAGCATGCTGATGCGCGTAGCCTGCGGATTCATGGCGCGCGTCAGCTCGAAACGGGGGGGCCTTCGACTGTCGCGTCGCCTTGTCGCCGCGGGTGGTCGACGTTTCTATCTGAACAAGTCTCGAGCTGGAGTGCATCCCGGGCGCTTGCCTACGTGGGGGCCCATTCTTGGGAAGTCAGGGATGAGTGGCAGCCTTCTTTCTGCGTCTGGGCCCAGGGCCTCCAGGGGCCAGCGAAAAGCGAGGCCCCGAAGGCATCTTCGGCGCGACCGCAGCCGCCGACTGGCAGCGGGCGCCGGCGCTGCACGGCCCACGGCGGAGGCCGCCAAGGCCCCGGGGCGGTAGGTAGAGGAGAGGAGGAAGGCGGGCCGGGAGGCGGATGAGCGCCCCGACCTCGCCTGGCCCCCTTTATTATGCATGTGCGAATTGGGTGGCCCCCTCGTGGTCGGGCGCATTTTCCTCCTCCTCCTCCCCCTCCCCCTCCACTCCGCATCCACTTTGGTGCGGCGCGTTTCCCCGGGGGGCTGTTCAGCCTCCGGGCAGCCTGGATTGCAGTAGTTCGCGCAAGGTTTCAGCATCTCCGCCTTGCCTGCCCCAGGCGCGGAGTGCGGCAGGTAGTTGCAGCGCCGACGCGGCGTGTCGCCACCTTCGGGCAAGGCCGTTCTGCGCGGGGCCAAGTTGCCGTCGTGGGCGCGCTGCAAGTGCGAGAGGGTGACCAACTGGGCGCGCCGCGTTGTCTGCCAACGCGGCGCCAAGGCCGCTGCTGACCTGGCCAAGCGCGCGGGCCGCCCGGGGCGTGCTCGAGTCGCGCGGGCGGTCGCCCAAAGGCTCCGATGGCGGCGGCGGCGGCGGCCAAAGGGACCTGGCCGCAGCGCCCGCCGAGCTCGCGAAGGAGTTCGCCTCTCGAGCAAGGGGCTGCCGCGGCTGAGCCTTAAAAGTCCCCGCCGCCCGCGCGCGTCGACGACCCGCCCCAGGTCCATCTCGACGCGCTGGAGGCCACGGTCGCCCGCTACAAGAAGGCCGGGATCGAGGGGGCGTCGTTCACAGGCGCGGAGAAACACCCGGCCGCGTGGCGGGCGCAGCGGCTGGAGGCTGAATCTCCGCAGACGCAGGTCATCGCGCTAAACGGGCGCCTCAGCGGGCTCAAGGGCAAGCTGGCGAAGCTCGAGACGGGCAAGGATGACAAGGCCAAGGCGGCGGAGGAGGCGAGGAAGGACCTGGGGCAGCGCATCGCTGACCGGGAGGCCCACGCCACAGACCTCGACAACACCAAGCTTGCCATCCTCGAAGTGGAGCGCGAGGTGCAGGCGGCGGCCCCGCGTCTGGCGCCGGCCGCTGCCCCGGGAGGCGGCGCGCATCAGGCCCCTGCGCCGGCCCTCGACGCTGCCCAGCAAGAGGCGCTCAGCCAAGAGGTGCTCGCCGAGGGTGCAAGTGCCCCGCGGCTCGCGCCGGGCGCCGCAAAGGTCCTCGTGGGCCTCCTGGGCAAGGCCCTTGTCAAGGCTGCTCCTCCTGGAGCCCCCCACTGGCGAGGCGCGGGGCAGCGGGGGCAGCGGGGGCGTCGCCGACGCCGCCGACGACGAGCAGACACCCGACTCCTTCGACCAGGAGACAGGCCGCCGCCGCGCAGCCCGATGCCAAGTGAGCCGCGGCTTCTGCCATGCGCGACCTCAACGCGGTCAAGCGCCCGAAACGGGGGCAATAGATTACGAGGGCGAGCAGGCCCACGCACCGCTGCTCGCACCCCACCCCGCGGGCCTTTTCAGGGTGCTGATGATGCGCTTGAACCTGGACGTGCGCTGTCGGGTTCACTGGGGCACGAGCAGCCACCCTTCAGTTTTGTAACAGTCAACGTCGCGTTCCGGGGGGCGAGGGCGCATCTGTTCGACGATTTGCATTCTACACCATACCTGATCACTTTCAACCAGACATGCTAACTTCAGGTGGGCGGCTACGCGAAGCCGAGGAGAGGGCGCAGTCGCGGGGATGGCGACCCTGGAGTCCAACATTGTTGATTGGCGTGTCCCGGCGGCCCTCGTCTGGTTGCCGCAGGTTGGCGCGCGCGTTTTCTATTCGGTGCACTTAGAGACGGGCGTGGGCTTTGGGCGGCAACCCCGCCGCGCTCCGCGCCTTCGTGCACTGCGCCAAGGGCCGCCACTTGCCATGGGTTGCAGGTGGCGTTTGGGATTTGGAGCCTGGAACTCCTGCGGGTTCCAGCGGCGTCAACGCGCCGAACGCGCGCCTGCGCGCCCACGTGGAGGTCACCTGCGCGGGACAACTACGTCACGCGAGGCTGGATGGGTTCCGCGCGCGAGGGCCCTGCAGTGTACCCGGGGCACTTGGTCTCGACGCACGACCTCGTCGAGATGCTCCCGGGCGTAAGTGATTGACCAGCTGCGCGCGTCACCAAGCAGCCGTCTCCACTGCCAGCGACCAGGCCTGCGGGGCCTCGCGCTGATCCCCCGGACTGGAGCGTCGCCAGCCTGGCGGTGCGCACCGAATTGGCCGAAGCCGACGGGCTGGCCCTGACCCTCGACACTTGGCAAGAGCTCGTTGATGGTGCTCATGCCACCTGGATGCGCGCCGCCCGCCCCGACTTCGGCGGGGTCGTCGACGCCGACGGTGGCGCGCTCGCCCGCTGGGGTGGCCCGCTGGAGTTCGAGGGCCAGCCCCTCTGCACGGTGCTGACCACACCCAAGAACCCGCGTTCCAGGGCCAGCTCAGGTTGGCAGGGCACATGCTGGAGACGGCTCTCGGAGGTGAGGACCCAGCGCGACCCGCTGCGGGCGGCTCTCTGGAGCCTGAGAATCGCGCTCGCACCCGGCGCTAAGTTCCACTACCACTACCACTGACAGCTGGCCTGGCCTGAGCGGGAGGAGTTGCTGCGCCGCGTCTGCGATGCCATCGGCAACGAGCTGGGCGGATGGCGGGGCTCCGCGCCAGGTCTCCTCGCAGAAACCGACCAATTTCGTTTCGAATGGGTTTGTTTTCCGGCGGGCAGGAAATCCGCACAGACCGCCTTCAAGGCGTCGACGATGGGATGCCCACGGTTTGCGTCGATGCCGAGTTTCCCGCAGGTTGCTTCGACGGGAACCACGGCCCCGTCGACGATCTGGAATGGGAGCTCGACGACCCGCGCCCGTGCGTCCAGGGCGCCGATGTGAATGATGGCTCGCCTGCTGATGATGGCCCTCGGACCACGGGCGCCACCGACTTTGCCGCTGTGAAGTCATTTGCTCGCTGTGACGACCGAGCGGATGTGCAAAGAATGCTTGGTGGGGGCTCGTCGGACTGGAGCCTCTCGCCGAGGGCGCCCCGATGCTGCGCGGGGGGGTGAAAGACCCCAGAAACTGTGAGCCCGAGCTCACCGCGCAGCACCCGTCCGCGCATAGAGTTCCCAGAAGAAGCTCGCTTCGCCCGTGCGGACATGCGCCAAAGTGGGCAAGCCCCCATGGATGCCCCGAAGGTTTCCCTCAATAGGATCTCCACAAGCATTCCCAGGGGATCCCGATGGATCCATGCGGATCCGTGGGAATCCGCAGGGATCCATCGGGATCTCACACTTGTTGTTTTAGTATAGTCGTTCATGTTGCCGTTGTTCCCCCCACATCAAGCCGAACCGGGTGCGCGATGGCGGCCTTCTGTGCTAGGGGAGACAGGGCGGGTGAGGCGCTCCGCCATGCCGGCCTATTCCTGATTATTGTCGTCGTCCCCCAATGACCCACCCGCGGCCCACCCAGCGACCCACACCGCGACCCACACCGCGATCCACCCGCGACCAACCCGCCATTCAACCGCGACCCACCCCGCGCCCGCCCCATAGCATTTGATGCTCGATTTGAGCGGGGAGACCGTCGAAACAAACAAACAGAAGAGGACCGAACACTTCACGGCCACCGCGTTGTTGCACTGTTCGGATATCTGACCCACGTCCAAGCCCACAGCACACGCGCAGCGGCGGCCTGGGACGGGTGAAAATATCTGCCGCAACCGGGGAGGAGAAGGAAAGGGAATAGGGAGAGAACCAGGCTATGGAAACACGGGGAGTGGGCGGACGACGCGGACGAGGACGGAGGGGGCGGACGACGAGGACGAGGACGAGGAGGAGGAGGAAGAGGTGGAGGAGGAGGAGAACGTTCAGGAGGAGGAGGAGGAGGAGGAGGAGGAGGAGGAGGAGGAGGAGGAGGAGGAGGAGGAGGAGGGAGGAGGAGGAGGAGGAGGAGGAGGAGGAGGAGGAGGGAGGAGGAGGAGGAGGAGGAGGAGGAGGAGGAGGAGGAGGAGGAGGGGGGGGAGGAAGAGGAGGACGACGAGGACGAGGACGAGGACGAGGACGAGGACGAGGAGGAGGAGGAGGAGGAGGAGGACATGGACGAGGAGGCTCCTGAAACCGCCCTTCGCCGCGGACCCCAGGCGGAACCGCCCGAATCCAACGACGTCGCGCTGGGCGCCGCGGTGGCCAACGCGCCGAACCCCGCGGGCGCCGCGGCGGTGGACCCCCCCGCCGCCCTGGCGGAGCGGGCGCCAGAGGCGCCGCCCCGGGAGGAGGAGGATGGGCGAAAAAGGGCATGGACGGCGAGGAGGGAGGAGAGGAGGAGGAGGAAGGAGGAGGAGGAGGAGGAGGAGGAGGAGAGGAGGAGGAGAGGAGGAGGAGGAGGAGGAGGAGGAGGAGGAGGAGGAGGAGGAGGAGGAGGTGAGGGTGAGGAGGAGGAGGAGGAGGAGGAGGAGGAGGAGGAAGAGGAGGAGGAAGAGGAGGAGGAGGAGGAGGAGGAGGAGGAGGAGGAGGAGGAGGAGGAGGAGGAGGAGGGAGGCGAGGAGCGAAAGGAGGAGGAGGAGGAAGAGGAGGAAGAGGAGGAGAGGGACGAGGACGATGAGGGCGGCCCCCGAGACGAAGCTGGAGGACGAGGAGGGGCCGGAGGAGCGCAACGCCTCTCGAGCGTCTCCCGGCGGCCGTGTTGGCGCGCGCCCGACGGACTACGCCGAGGCGCCCTCGCGCCACGATTGCGGAGAGGGCAAGGTGGAAGAAAGTGTTGAGGAAGGACGAGTCAAGGAAGATCCCGTCCAGCATGAGGTAGGAGAGCAACACGGAGCCGAAGGCGAAACCAGTGACGGGGAGGGCGTAGACGTCTTCCTTCATGTGACCCACAACCCAGACAAGTCATTCACCCAGGCAACGAGCATGAGTGAAACAGCACCAAGTCAGACACGTGTGAAATGTTGCCACTCGTCGTACGGATAGAGGGTCATGCCGACACTTCCCTCCAGCGGGAGGTCCCGGGCAACGAGCGCCCCGTAGACCTCCTCGTGGCTGCACGTCCCGACCATGAAGTCGACCGTGTGCACGGTACCGCACAGGCCGACAAGGATTTGGTGGAGACGAGGGCGGCCACGGCGTCGCTTACCTGGCATTTCTGTCTTCAGATTACCGTTGACTTGGACCCTCATGTCTTCGCGGAGTACCTGGCACGCGCCGTCTTTGCGGTCAGACTCGCCATGGGCTGTCTGGACCGTCTTCGGTTCGTCGTTTTGCCGCAGGCTGTTAGTGGCTCCAGGGGTGGACCCAGAAGCACCAGCCAACGAACCAGCAACGGTAGCTCCTGAGCCCAGCTCGCGGCGTGCAGCCCCAGCTAGAAAGCAACCCTCAAGTATGTTCACAACAACCATTAGGCTACTTACCACCGCCCGAGTGGCGTCGTGAGCTTCACCATGGGTGCGGCTCACGGCCATCACCCCGCTAGCTTCGCCATGGGCTGCGCTAGCTGGGTGCGGCTTGTCACCTTGCCTCTGACTTTCAGCACTGGCATCGCCTCGACCAGTGAGACTGCACAAACTGTCGTGGACCTCGTCGTTCTTCACACGATGAGCCTCGGAGTTCATGTCAGCCCTCACTCCAAGCGGAGGCCGGGTGCTTCCAGCAGCAGACCCCTGCCCCGTGGCCCGAGCGCCGACGGGAGCACAGGCAGGCGGCCGTGCGGCAGGCCTGATCGGCAAGACCGCCGACTCAGGAGTGGCACTCGGAGTGGACACACCCATGGAGTCGATCGGTATGGCATTCGAAACGGGCTCCAGCTTGGCGGGTACGTCATGGACGCCCGCCCTTCCACCCTTCGGTGGCCCAGACGTCACGGGACCATTTTGAGCGAATTGTTTTGGAACGTATTTGTTCTGCTCGCCAGCCGTGGGCCCGAATGCGCCGGTGAACAAACCTGCGGCCCTGGTCTCCGCACCAGCTTGCGCATCTTGGATACTTCCGCCCTCTCCTGTCAAACCTCCCACGCGCCGATTGGGAGGACAAAGAACTGGCTGTATCACTGGATGATTGTCGCTGGCCTTCGACGGGGCATGTCTTCGCCCCTCCTCCGACTTTGAATCAGAGAGCTCCGAGGGAGGCACATGGGACACCTGGGCAACGACAGGAGGAATGACAGAGCCGCCATCGTCATGCCCACCATCCTTGCCAGCATTCTCCGTAGGAGGCTTCTTCGGAGGCTTGTGGAGGGGCTGCGTCTCCGTCCCTATGATGTCTTCGGTGTTACCGTCATGGACGCGCACACCTTCTTCTAGACCCGCGCCAGCACAACGTGATGAGGAGCCAACAGAGAAGGGCACGTCACTTGC